TTATTGTTGTCGTTGTTGTTGTTGATTTCGCTCTCGTCTCTCTCTGCCAGTACTTACCTGTTCATCTAGCTCTGCATCTCTGTAGCTGTTTGCTGTCTGTTTGCGATTGTAGCTACTCTATAAATAGATTTCATGCACACTCAGACAGATATAAACCGTATCTGTCATGACCGTGTCTATACATAAACACATGCAGACGCACGCAACTAAACAAGTAAGCATACAACGATGTACACACACACACAAAGAACCACAGAAACGACCGAACGAACAGACACACAGACGGACAGACAGACAGACAGGCAAACAAGCAACCAACAAAACAGCTATATATATATATATATATAAATATGGACACATACATGCACACATACAGTATGTATAATGTATGTATGTATGTATGTATGTATGTATGTATGTATGTATGTAATTATGTACGTAGGGAGGTAGGCAGGTAGGTAGGTAGGTGGGTGGGTGGGTAGGTAGGTATTCTGCACCGACCATATATACACGCTCTCTGTCTCTCTCGCTCGTTCTCTCCCTCCGTATGTATATATATATATATATAAACACGATAAATAAAATGATCTGTATGTATATACATGCACACATACAAGTATGTGTATATATGTATAGACATAGACCTGATAGTTGGATTGTGAGGTACGAGGTTGGGTGAGTTGGGGTTTCCTGAAGCGACATGCTATGACGTTGCATGTCATGACAGGACACCATATGACACGATATGGTATGACTTAGCTGGATGGGTTGTGATATTGTTCAATATGAACTGATATGGTGTGGTATGGTATGCAATGAAGTGACATGACAGGATATGACATGCCATTGTGCGATGTGGTTTGATGTCACATGGTATGTTGGGATATGATTCGATTGTGGACTATATGAGAGGTTCTGTGTATGCATGCATGCATGCATGCATGCATGCATGCATGCATGCTTGCATATGCTCACAAACTCACATAAGTGCAACGTGTCGTACCTGTGTCAAGTCTTCAGCTTCACAGCCAATTTCATGGATGACTTCATTCACACGCGGCAGGGCATTGTCATGTTCTTCGTCAAGCGGTCGCTGAGCCACGTGCGGAAGCTCCACATTGATGACTTGTCCGCGAAGAAGATTACGGCCCCTGGGCATGAGAGCAGCATGGGGCGACTTTCATGCTGCACCCATAGGCCCCATAGTAGTTCCCTTTTAGGATTACCTTATAGGATTCTAAATGTGAACCCCAAAAAAGGAACTACTATGGGGCCTATGGGCATGTAGATTTGAACCCTTGAGCTCTCTGCCGAACAGGCCAGGACGGTGCGCTGCGGCGGCATTGCAAGAAAGTGCCCGTGCTGGCTCGCACCCCATCACCGTTCGTTCCAGAAGATTTGACGCTCTCTCCATGCATTCTTTCGACCGACTGCATTGTGAGGGTTTGGCTGTGAAATGTGGTTTGCTTTCTGTCTGGCTGACGACCTTGGAGCCTTGGACCCCAGGCATCAGCCCGGTGTGAGTCCTGCCTGAATGCCTCCAGTCGAGGTCTCGCTGGCTCTTCTTCTTCATGACGGTAGGCGTGGTCTCAGGACCGGCTATCTTGCGCATGGAGTCTGGAATGCCTCTCATAAAGTAAACCCCGCGATCGGTGCAGGATTCAGCATCGCCGTGGTGCTGTCCACGTGCCCCGATGCGGGAGATGCCACGCTGTGGAAAGGGGTGGCTTTTGCATGTTTTGAGGCACCCTTTAAGGCTTGGGTGGGACAAATAGTATCCGTATCAGATCGGCTCACCCTGAATCCTACGGCCTAAATGCAGTCTTGAATCAAGCCTGGAGCCTATGTTCATAAACCCCCTATAATAGTAACAATGAAAATAGCGACAGCGCTTCACACAAACAGGGTTACTTAAATGATGATGCGACTTTTGAAACGAACATGGTGATGAGAGTAGTGTGAATAAAAATGAGAATGACGATAAAGGTGATAATGGTGATTATGGTCGTGATGATAATATTTTGACATTATGAGAATGCTGACAATAACGGGAATAAGCTGTGATATAGCTACTGGAATATGCACGAGACCAATAGTAGTAATAACAGCGATCGACTAGTCATAACTTAACTACGTTGCCATCTTAAGCGGTACCATCTTACGAATCATGACTCTAGTCGCACTAGTGCTAGTAAAATGATAAACTGTTAGACATGACCACATTCACCATTGTAATCCCCCGGCCCGCACCCCTAAAAACACCTAAAACCTTAAGCCCTAAAAACCCTAAAACCCTAAACCCAAACCCTAAACCCTAAACCCTAAACCCTAAACCCTAAACCAAGCCTTCATGGCCTTGGCGCCGATTTCGATCGAACTCTGGGAGCCAGGCAGACTGCGAGATGAAGGCGTCGTCGGCTCGGAGGGATTTCACCTACCTTAAGAACCCAAAACCTACTTTGTGGTAGGGTCCCTATAAATCCCATATTAGGGTTTATAATAAGAACCTACAAAAAAGTGGGTTTTGGGTTCTTAAGGTATGCATTGCTGCTATGATAGAAGCGGTTTAGGGTTTAAGGGGTTTAGGGGTTTAGGATTTAGGGTTTAGGGTTTAGGGGTTTAGGGTTTAGGGTTTAGGGTTTAGGGTTTGGGGGTTTAGGGGTTTAGGGTTTAGGGTTTACTGAATAAGTACCAACATCATTCCTTGAGGTTCGCTATAGAGTTCAAACCGGGGTCGGACTAGTCTTCAACAATACTTTCCTTGTGGTCCATAAAGCCCAACAGAAGTAGGTTTGGGGGGTTATGAGAGCTCAGAGGGGTTAAGGTCGAGAGTGTAAGGCTCGTGCGATTTTCGGTGTGATGCGGCGTTCTGATCTTACAGTTCCGGGTGTTTTTTTCTCAAGCCGAGCCTCTGTTCCTTCTGGCGCGGCCCAACCCACGGTTTAGGGTTTAGGGTTTAGGGTTTAGGGTTGCCCATCCCAAAACCTCGAGCCCAGGTTCGGCAAAGGATTTCATGTTTCAGGTTCATGGCCGTTCATTGCCGAAGATCTCTAGAATCCCTAAGCCCAAAATTTTAAACCCTCAACCCTAAACCGGAATCTAGATGTAAGGTACTGTAAGGTTGGGTATAGAAATCGGGGTTTAGCGAGTGAGGCCAGAAACCCTGAGCCCTACCAGCTCCGCTTAAACGACGGCCCGAAAGAAGGTAACGCAAAAAGGGATCCGAAGGATTTTTCCGAAGAGCTGCACTATTATGGGCCCTCTACACCCCTCGAAAACCTCATAGAACCCCGTTACGAATTTATAGCTTGCCCGTTTTTTTCAAAACCCCCAAACAAGTTCGTAGAGCCCTAAACCCTAAACCCTAAACCCCTAAACCCCTAAACCGGAAACCCTAAACCCTAAACCCTAAACCCTAAACCCCTAAACCCCTAAACCGGAAACCCTAAACCCTTCTTGTTGGCAACCTTGAAACGCAATCGTCTCGGCTCCCTCGTGCTTAAAGGGGAGAGCCCTACATAATTCCTTAGACTAGTCCCTACCTTTTTCTACCAACCTACTTTTGTTGTAGGGCCCCTATAATAAACTCCATGTTAGGGTTTATCATAAGAACCTACCAAAAAGTCGGTTTTGGTAGGTTAAGGTATCCCTAACCCCCCAGGTACCTACTGTACAGGGTCCTACGGGCTCTAGTACCCTATATAGTAGGTACCTGGGAGGTTACCTTAAGAACCCAAAACCCACTTTTTTGTAGGTTCTTATTATAAACCCTAATATGGGATTTATAGGGACCCTACAAAAAAGTAGGTTTTGGGTTTCTTAGGTAGTACCCTATATAGTAGGTACCTGGGAGGTTAGGGTATATTCCATCCTCCACTCGTCCTTCCCTAAACCCTAAACCCTAAACCCCGAAAGACAGACGCCTTAGGCCAGACCCAAAGGGCGAGTTTGGCGTCCTTTTTGGCCTCTGGCCTCGCGGCGGCGGTCAGGGTTTAGGGTTTGGCGTTTAGTGTGCAGGGTTTAGGGTTTAGGGTTTAGGGTTTGAGGTTGATGGATGTTTTCTAACATGTGCCAGTCTCTCTGCAAGCATTATGAGGTATGCGGATTAGGGCTTAGGGTTTTCGGTAGCACAGCCGATATATGATATGTTTCAGACTCATGACTCATGACAGCATGCTTTACGGGAACAAATTTGACAGCACATGGCAACAGGCATGGGTGCACAGGAGTTGATGCACGTTGGAGAAGGTTGAGCTGCTTTCCGCTATTTCTTGCGGTGATCTCATGTCGGTGCCAGGCGGCCTAGGACCAAGCGAAAGGCTCTCTCCGCTGCTGGGCTCCCAGGTGATAATTCATCTGTGAGAACGAAGATGCAGCCACCTCGCGAGACAAGCTGATGCCCCACGTACGGGATTCATGTTGTCTGGTCTGAAAAATTCGGGGTTTCCAAACCTCAGAGCCATGGATGCCGCTGCGTGTCTTGACATTCTGAGCCGCGCGGCGCATACGAGCGGCTCGTCTGCACATTCCGAAGCTCAGGACCAAGCGAGTCTTTAGACAGTCTGCACGCCTCCTTCTCCTGCAGGCAATAGGCTAGAAAGCGAATGTGGCTGGCGTCTTCAGCAAGTATTGCTGTGTTTAGACACACACACACACACACAGAAGTGGCTACAGGCTTATTATGTATAATGGTGGTTGTCAAAATTATGGTCCCCTTTTTGGGTCCTTATTATAATACGGCACCTATTATTTAGGGTACCCCACAAGGGACCATCATTTTGACAGCTACCCATATGGTGCGTGTTAAAGACAGGCCTTGATGCTAAACCCTAAACCCTAAACCCTAAACCCTAAATTAAACCCTAAACCCTAAACCCTAAACCCTAGTGTGTGATTCAAGTTGCCCTTCCCGCTATCCCTTGAGCAGGACCTCGGGAGCGCTTCTTTAAAATTAGCCCATACCCCTAAGGGTCCATGTACGTAGCTATACATTCCGAGTAATATAGGGGCCTTCATAGTTACCTATACTATTTTGGGCCCAACACCCTATTCTAATTATTGAGGCCCCTACAGTATACTCCCCTAAGGGTCCATGTGCTCATAAAGCATATACATGGGCCTTAAAGTACCTATATAGGGGCTACATTAAGGCCAATGTATATAGTATATGAGTACATGGACCCTTAGGATACCTTAAGAACCCCAAAACCCACTTTTTTTTGTAGGTTCTTATTATAAACCCAAATATGGGATTTATAGGGACCCGACAAAAAAGTAGGTTTCGGGTTCTTAAGGTAGCCCATAGCCCTCAAGCCCGAAAACACAGACGCGACAAGCCCTGAAGCCTTAAACCCACTTCAACGCGGCTTGCTTCGGGTTCTCGTTGTTCCCCGTTAGCAAGAGCAGTCAAGCGAACGCCAAGGTTCCCAGCAGAATGGCGGCAAAGCGTGCAGCCATGGAGGCCGAACCCTCCCAGTGAACCCATCCGGTTTAGGGGTTTAGGGTTCAGGGTTTAGGGCTTCATGGGAACTCCAAAGACAACTGTGGAGACCAAAGCGGATAAGGACAGTATAAGGACCTTGCCGCCCGTACGAGTGGGAGGGTGCTCTTCAAAGCCCTAAATATTAAATAGAGGAGTGGATGATGAGCACGAGTACTCGTATTCCTTAGGGGTCCCTGTTCTATCATATCAGGAGAGACCATACCCCGAAACCCAAGTCTAGTTTTTGTCAGACTTTTCTTTGCAAGCCTAAGCCCTACCTTAAACTACCAAAACCTACTTTTTTGTAGGGTCCCTATAAATTCTATATTAGGGTTTATCATAGGGACCTACAAGAAAGTAGGTAAGGTAAAGCCTAAACGAACACATCTTGGCCGAAGGCGCACCTCAAAGCACCGAGGGAGGTTATCCCGCAGCACAGACTGAGCAGAGTGGTCAGGCCTCGAGACTGGGGCTGAGGGCGCAAATTAGGGGCCTTAATAATTACCTA